TGTATATATGTATATTTGTATATTTATATATGTATATTTATATATGTATCTATGTATATGTGTATATGTGTATATGTATATAGATATATATATGTGTATATATTTATATATGTATAGGTGTATACATATAGATGTATACATATACATGTACATATACATTTACATGTACATGTACAAATACAAATACATATACATATACATATATATATACATATACATATACACATACATATACACATACATATACACATACACATACACATACATATACATATACATATACATATACATATACATATACATATACATATACATATACATATACATATACATATGATTCTGTATCAGACTATCAGGTGTATTGTAGTAATGAATTCCGGTACTTCGGGACGATAGTTTTTGTATATGATTTTACAATTGTTTTATAATAAAAAAGATTGGAACACTAGAAAAATACATATTGTGAATGGAGAGAATTTAATCACTGAAAACGTGAGCTTGGAAGTCCTGCCAGAGGCTCCAGGCGTTTTGAAGGGAATTTTATCTTTATTTATATTTATCAAATATTTCAGCCCCATAACGGCATAACCTCGGCCTCAAGCCGGACCTCAGTGAGGAAGTCTCGAATGAAAGACCTGAAGCACAAAATATGAAAATAAATTACGGCCCTCTATAAACTCAGGTCTTGAGGCTTGAGGCCTGAAGTCCCTGATCCAGAGACCAATAGGGGGCCGTCGTTGAATACTCTAGAGGAGGTTTTTACTTTGTTGTGGCGTAATTCATTTTGTTCATAGTCACGTCTATAAAAGTATTGGTAAAATATTCCACAGGGACGTTGGGGCCGCCGGGCCTCTGGGCCCTTTTGTTTTAACAAAAAACAAAAACAAAGTTATACAAACAAATGTGGAGTCTTTCTTTCTAAAATGGGGAGGGACTCCATACAATTCGCGTCATCGACGTTTTTTGGCGCCAGGCAAAAAATCGGTGATACATAATGTCGACAGGGACTTAGAACAGCTTACGCTTCCTGTAATAAAACACGGCTGGGACGCGATAGCTCAGGAGTCAGGAGTTCAGAACTGTATTCTACTCTCTATTTCTACTAAATAGTAGAGAGAGTCAGAGTCAGAGAGCATATTAAGCTAATTTTATTAATATAAGGTGTTTGAAAGAATGTGTAATTGTGCATCCACACGAGAGTATATTAGTATAATCAGTAAAAATATTTTTGTTTGTATTTTGTAAAGAAAGATATGTATTGTCATTATTTGTTCCATTTTCAGCCTTTTGTATTTTTTTAAACCCTTTTGACCACATTCTACCAATTTTCGCTTCATAATTGAAAAAAAAAAGTATTTTTGGTCATCAGTTTTGACTTTAGAGAAGAGAAAAATATTATAACCCAATGAAGAAAGCTTTAAAAAATCAAAAATATATTTTTAGCACAGTAATTATGAGTTAAGGGCCTTAGGGCACGTAGGAAGAATAGTTGTAGACTTGTAGGCTGTAGCTATCCAATGATAGCTGTGATATTCATTCCACTGCCTAGCTATTCCTATAAAAGCATTGGAAGATATAAGGAAAGCTGAGTATACACAGAATCAAAAGAGAGAGAGTAAATAAAATTGGTAGATGTCAACGTGGTCTTTTATAAAAATATATCTTTTATAGTAGAATGTAGTCTTTTATGAAAATTAGTAATGAAACACAGGTTTTGTTGTAAAAACAAAAGAGGGGGGGTTTTTTTTCAAACAAATAACAATGCATATTTAGTATTTACTGTGTCAATAGTTTTTATTTAAAAAAAATGAAACTATAAATAAATAGTTGTGTCATGAATGAAGAAGGATAAATATGATTAATAAATACTGCAAAACCAATTTTACATAAATATTTAAATATATAGAAAAATTTAAATATCAATAGTTTAATAGAAGATTAGTTTTTTTATATTCTTTTTGAAGATTTTCGATATTCATTCAACAAAACATGATATAACCTCGTCGATCCTATCTTTGCATTCACTATTTATAACCGACCGTAGACACAAAGCGACTGAGATGATTTCGGATTGAAAATCTCATTCGCAAACTATGAGTGGGACTTCCGAAAACAATAACGTACAAAGACTCACTATGAGTGAGACTTCCGAAAACAATAGCGTACAAAAGCTCTGCACACACAGGAAAGATCATGTGCCTGCTAACGTAAACGTATCTATATTCGATTTGATAAAGATTGAGGGCGAAACAGACAATCACGCTAGCACAATACAAAAAGCGGACAATTGCCAGACAATTTCGGAAGGTACGTTGATAAAGCCAGTGGCTCGTATTGCGAATAGCCCTATGGGTAACATAGATCCGGAAGATAAAACCACAGGCGTTTTGGAGCCTTTAATTACCTTTCAAAGAGTATATAGAACAAAAACTATAACCGAGAAAGATTACTTACGGCTGTCGTACTGGGTGTCTGGTATCGGCTTCAGCGTAACAACTGTATGGTTCGTTGCAACCTATGTAGCCTGCGGAATCTTGATAGAGCATCAATCCCTGAAGCCATCTGAATTTTCACCTGGGGTTTTGCCCATTTTCCAGTTAATCAATATTGGTTCCACTGCTTTACTAACCATAGTGCTCTCGGGGTTATGTTTGTGGAAAGCGCAGTACTCACTGGTGAAAACTCGAGGAAAACGGTTTATAATCGGTTTAGCTCTCTCCGCCTTGTCAATACTATTCGGTTGTTTCTTGGGCGTTGTTGGAGATTACGTAGGAATTTCTACTACCAAGGGTGTACTTGGTTGGGTTCGGCAAGCTAGTTTATTAATAGGCGGTGTATCTGTTGTTGCTTTACTGGCATCAAGGCAGATATTTTTATACCATCTGTTCCTCGGAGGACGGTCCGCCCGTCGACGTCTAGATACCATATGGTACCAGACATATTTTCTTTGCATACTACCTGCGTGCATTCTGACTATAGTATACACATTATTCACTCTAACCAAAGTAAGCACACATTACAAGATGCTTTTTAGTGCGACGTATTTGCCATCGCTCGCCGTGATGGCTTATTACGCTTACAAGTCACGAAGGATAGGCAGTGGGTATGGACATTGGGGCAGCTGTCTGCGACTAGCGATATTTCTTTCAGTGGTGAGTGTCTCCCTTCGGATCTCAGTAGTGTATTTGATCCCTCGCGATGCGACAGGAAAACCAACTGGTTGGTCAAGGCAACTCGCGTGGTTTGGTCACATGTACATGGTTTCAATATCTATCTCTGAATCCTTTCTGTTGATTGCCATCTTGGCACTACTAGATGTACAACCTCTACACTGCCTGGATCCTAGGGTAACCTACCGAACCACATATCCAGCAGGTACACCAGTACCTATTACCCAACACACCCCACAGACAGGAAGTTGGCTGAATACAGTTACACCGCCAATATCCGTTAGTCGAGATTCAAGATGTACAATGAATAAGTTCCGAATTGAGGAAGACTCGCACAGAGGTCATCGCAAGAATAAGTGCCGAAATGAAGGTGTCGGTGGTATTTCTGTTGAATCGGTTGCAATTCATCATTTGCTCTTTAGTCAAGCTCCGGTGTCTGAAAGTATTTTACAAAATAACACACCCGAGTTACTGCCCGAGTCACTGCCCAAGTCACTGCCTGAATGACTGTCCGAATGACTTCCCGAGTCAAAGTATCGCTACAGAGCGAATCCCAATGAATAGAGCGAACTACACAAGATAGCTATCGAATCATAAAACTTTAAATTTGTTCCAATAAGGCTTCGAATAAATTTATTTGCTAAACATACTTCGAAAAACATATATATATTGACTTACACAAGGTGCATTGTGTTACGGCAGCAACACTATTACACACAGTGTGCATATTTCATCCTTAGCATTGATTCACCAGTACAAATATTGATGATTCGATTTTTTCCTACAACAAAATACATTTGTACGCGAACAATAAATCAATATATATATATATATATCTATATATATATAT